AAATTCATTTGTTTTAAAAGGGCACAATGCAATGATTTTTAGTAAATTTACCGAATTGTGCAGCCATCTTCACTAATTTTTTAAAACATTTCCATCACCCGAAAAGAAACTTCCAGCCTCGCCGAAACTGGTTTGGCTCAGTGGATAGAGCACCCGCCTGTGGACTGAAAGGTCTCAGGTTCGATTCCGGTCAAGGGCATGTACCTTGATTTTGGGCACATCCCCAGTAGTGGGTGTGCAAGAGGCAGCTATTGATGATTCTCTCTCATCAATGTTTCTAACTCTCTAACCCTCTCTCTTCCTCTCTGTAAAAAATTAAAAAGAAAAAAGAAAGAAAGAAAGAAAGAAACTTCCAGTCAATTTGCTCTTCATTCCCACCTGCCATCCTAGGTAACCACTATTGATAGGTATATCTTTCTCTTACAACAACTGGATACAGAACTGATATTGTCCAATCTACATTCACATGGGATATTTTTGGTCTATCCTCTACCCAAGCCTATCTCTCCCAAAGTTCAGAAAAGCAGTAACTGACTTTTCAGTTCCATTTTTGATATTAAGAAAATGTTTCCTGCAAAAACCAATTTGGCTCAGTGGTAGAGCATCAGCCTGCGGACTGAAATGTCCCAGGTTCGATTCCGGTCCAGGGCATGTACCTTGGTTGTGGGCACATCCCTAATGGGGGTGTGCAGGAGGCAGCTGGTCGATGATTCTTTCCATCAGTGTTTCTAGCTCTCTCTCCCTCTCCCTTCCTCTCTGTAAAAAATCAACAAAATATTAAAAAAATAAAATAAAATGTTTTCCATAACCTATTCTCAGAATAGTGTCACCAAGCTACTGCACAAGCCCGCCCCTTTCCCTAATTTAAATCTATCAGTTACCTACACAAGTGTGGGGTCTGCTGATTTTTCAAGGACTCTTCTCCATGTTACTTTTGTTGGGAAAGTATGTCACACACATGCTAGTATATACATGATTTTTTTTAGTAAGCATGTGTCTTCTTTTCAGGTTTTAAAAACACTGTAGTAAAAATGCTTAACAAATGTTGTGGGTACTTCTGCAATAGAATGCCTTGAATCCATTAAGAGTGTGTGTGTGTGTGTGTATGTGTGTGTGTGTGTGTGTGTTACATTACAGGCCCGGTGCATGAATAAATGCATGGATGGGCTCCAGCCAGGATGGCCAGGGAGAGGGGACATAGGCAGTTGGCTGGCCTGCCTGCTGGTCAAACTCCTGGTCAAGGGGACAATTTACATATTAGCCTTTTATTATATAGAATATACACTGAATGGCCAGATTATTATGTGTTCAGAGATCATCATAATCTGGCCACTCAGAGTATACTACTATTTCTACTACTGAAAACTTTCCCAAAAGTTTTTATTATCAAATGCCTTTTTGATTTCACTCAAGATGATATATTTTTACATGTATTTTATTACAATCATTTATTAATTCGAAACCTTCCTTGCATTTCTGGAATAAATCTTACCTATTTCTAAAAACAAACAAACAAAAAAAAAAACTCACCTTAACAAAACAATATCGGTGTACTTAAAGTTTCAGAGTTTTGCATTTGCCTTCCAAAGGAAAAATTAGTTTATAGAGATCTTCAGCTCTTTAATTATCCAGGTTAACTTCTAGTACAGGCGTCTTCAAACTGCGGCCCGTGGGCCACATGCGGCCCGCAGAGGAGTCTGATCCGGCCCGCCAGGTTTTTTGGGCAGTGAGCGCAGCCGAGGTGTTACAGTAGGAATTAGTAGTTCATATAGTCTGGCCCTCCAGCTCTCTGAGGGACCGTGATCTGGCCCCCACTTTAAAAAGTTTGAGGACCCCTGTCTAGTACTTCGCAGGGTAAGAGGCCTTGAGAGCCCTCCATCCGCCCTGTGCTCAGGTGTAGTGCCCTAAGCAAATGAGCTAATGGGATTGCCATCCATGGAGAGGAAGCACTGTGGCCTTTGTCACTTCCCCAGATACTTACTGGCAAGGCAGGGTGACCACAGGAATGAGTCTGTCGTAATCATCATCTCGATGACAAACAGTGGGCCGGGGATTGGCTGACACTTGCTGGTTGTGGTTAGTGTATTGAATCTTCCTAATGAAGTCCCAAGGAAAATATCAATCGAGCCACTAATGACGACAAATGGGTTCTGCACTCACAGAGTTGCTCTTACTCCCAGGAGTACAGAGCTCTTCAAGATTAATTATTTCAGTCATCCTCACCGTTGTCCCTTGAGGTGAGTGACAGAGCACTTCCTCTTTAAAAAAAAAAAAAAAAAGAAAGAAAAGAAAGGTGACTAATTGGATTTTCTTCTGTTCCACATTCTGTGTTCTAGAACTGGGTAGCCACCTTCTAAAGACCACCTGTGTGTCCAGGGGTGGCCCTGGGTTTAAAAATCACAGGCTTCTTTCCCATACAAATGCCAGGCTCGCATTTGGAACAGAATGTGGAACAGGAAAGCGGGGGACATTCGGGTGGCGTTTGGCAAGATGCGATGACTGGGATAGCCTAGAGTTGGCAAAACGAGACAGGTAATGGCTGCGTTGGTGCTTTGCTCCCTCCATTAGGGATAGTCCCCCGTGGTGTGGAAGGCTTGCTGTGGACCCTGCCTTCCTGAGGCACCTCCTTGTTATGTTTACTCTCCACACAGCCGTGGGCCAGGTTGCCACAGAGAGTGTCAGGGAGCCCCGTTTTGCAGAGGGACACGGCTTCTTTCTCATCCGACTCCCGTGTGCTAGCAGCGGGGATGTTCACAGGGACCAGAGTAAGGGACATGTCCAAGATGCTTCGTGCTCTCCCTCGGCGGCAACGTATGTCCTCCGTCCCTCGTGTCTCTGCCAGGCCCACCTTGCTCCGGCGTCTGCCTCCTCCGGACGGCCTGAGCCTCTCTGTGGAAACATCCCTTCGGGGGAGCAGGAGAGAGTAAAGCTGCCTTTGTCCTGGGACCACCTCGTTCCCTGCACAACGTGCCCTTCAGTCTCCCCAAAGAGTCTGGTCCCTTCGGTTAGACCGGGAGCCCTTTGGGTGGCTATTCAGGCCGGTGTCATTTCGTTGGTTTTTTTTCTTTTAACTCCCTTTAATTTGCCCCGGGTCCCCCGCACCACTGAGGCATCTGGGTGCACAGTCAACACTTGTGGTCACTCTGTTTACCATCCCCGGCTCCCAACAAACGTGGCCTGTACTTATTAACTGTGTCATTTTAACAACTTTTTTTTCCTCTCAGCAAATGAAGGCTTAGCTCTCACCGCTTTGAGTTTTTCCTCCTCCTTGATGTTTCCCTGAAGTTACCCTGAAAGAGAGGCCTCTAAAATGCAGAGGATTGTGCTTAAATTGTACAGTGTGCTCGGGCCGAGGACTAATTAGAAGGCTCGGGAGCCTCTTCAGGTGGCCGGGCCGCAGGCTGGCTAAATGCTGCTTTCCTAAATAGAGAACAGCTGGGCCGTGCGGCCGGCGCCTATAAAGAGGGGGAGCTGGTGCTCTGGCTGCGGAGCAGTCTCTGCTCTCCGAGCCCGTGGAGCTGCTGCTGAAGGCGCCCTGCCCTCCCCGGGGCCGGCGGGTGAGTGCCTGTGTCTGCTGTGAAGTTGTGCTGGCTGCGTCCAAATGTGACTACTTTGCCATGCCGGTTGTGGTGTGTGCTTTTATCCTGCAGGAAACAAGTGCGGTGTGTCACCTCAATGAGATAGCTCGGGCTTTGTGTCTCTAAGGCTTTGCATTATTTCGAAGGCTGTCCGCTTTCCTGGTGTATGGTGTGCGTCTCTGACTATAAAAGGGTGAACTGAGGCAGTGTCATTTAGTTCTCAAATATTCTGAAGTGGTTACTTAAAAAGATTACAGGGGTTTTTTGTGTGTGTGTGTGTTTTTTAATCTTTACCTGAGGATATGTATATTGACTTTTTGAGAGAGAAAGAGAGAGAGAGAGAAACATTGATTGGTTGCCCCCCGATGTGAGCCCCAACTAGGGATTGAATCTGCAAACCTACTAGGTGTGTGTGCTAACTGGGAATCGAACCCACAACCTTTTGGTGCATGGGTTGGGTCTCAAGAAGAGAACCAACCAACTGAGCCACGCAGCGAGAACAAGATTCCAGAGTTTTAAAAAGAAAATAGAAAGTTGACTGTTTGTCAAATGCAGAGGGTAAACAGTTATTCAGAGCATGTAATCATCACAGTGTTTTTTTTAAAAATATGTATTTATTGGTTTTTAAAATATATATATTTTTATTGATTTGAGAGAGAAAAGGAGAGTAAGAGAAAGATAGAAACATCAATGATGAGAGAGAATCATTGATTGGCTGCCTCCTGAACATCCCAACCTGGGCATGTGCCCTGACCGGGAATCAAACCGTGACCACTGAGCAACACCAACCAGGTTTGATTTTTTTTTTCTTTTCTTTTTTTTTTTTTTTTTTTTTTAGAGAGGAAGGGAGAGGGACAGAAAGATAGAAACATTGATGAGAGAGAAACTTCAATCCGCTGCCTCCTGCACGCAACCCAGGCATGTGCCCTGACTCAGAATGGAACTGGCCACCTCCTGGTTCAGGGGTCTGTGCTCCACCACTAGGCCACACCGGTGGCGGGGCATTCATCACAGTTGTTTATCCTGTCAGGGTCCTGGAAAAGATTCAGTCTTAGGAAGGAGTGATGTGATCGGGGGAGGTTCCAGCTTATTGTGACTTCATGGTTAGCAACAGGTGTCAGTGGCTGATGAAGTGGCTGCAGTCTTGGGTCCTGGCTTCTTTGTAAAGAAACTTAGAAAGAATTGATTATTAAAATGTTCCAATTTATACTGACATCAGCTGAAAAAGAGAAGAATTCTGAGACAAACCAATTCAGTACTTTATAAATCCATCTCGGCAGCTCGAACGATGTTCTGACGACACTACATCTGTAGAGCGAATGGCTTTGGTATTGGTTTCCGTGTCTTGATCGTGTTCTTTTCTGGGTGGTTGGCAGGTGGAGGGGCACGGTCTCTGACCGCAGTGTTGCTTTGTTCTCACAGGAGCCGCAGTGAGGTCTCAGGGGGAAGACGGTCGGCCTGCATCCCTGAACGGAGAGCTGCATGGGAGGCCCCGGCGTCTGGGGGCCGCTGTCTGCGTTTCACACCGGGAGACAGAATCGGTCGGAGAGCCCATGTTTATCCTGGAAGCAGAAGGATTAGAAAAACGTGTCTCCTGAGAACATTCCCGTCTCCTTCTGGATCTGAAGCCTGGGGGGAACAATGGATGTCATAGAGACAGCAAAGCTGGAAGAGCACATGGAAAACCAGACCAACGATCTGGCCAGCACGTACCCACGGCCCGCGGAGCCTGCCGAGGAAGAGGAGAAAAATGGCAACGGGAAACCCAAGAGCCTGTCCAATGGGCTGCGGAAGGGCACCAAGAAGTACCCGGACTACATCCAGATCTCCATGCCCACGGACTCCAGGAGCAAGTTCCCCCTGGAGTGGTGGAAAACGGGCATCGCCTTCGTGTACGCGCTCTTCAACCTCGTCCTGACCACCGTCATGATCACGGTCGTGCACGAGAGGGTGCCTCCCAAGGAGCTCAGCCCGCCGCTCCCAGACAAGTTCTTCGATTACATTGACCGGGTGAAGTGGGCGTTTTCTGTATCAGAAATAAATGGGATTATATTAGTTGGACTATGGATCACCCAGTGGCTTTTTCTGAGATACAAGTAAGTAGGTCTGACACGTTGGGGGTTGTTTGGGAGGGTGTTGGGGGGAAGGCACCATTGTACTGATGTGAGTAGATGTGTTACTCGGAATGACCTTTCTTGGTTTTATCTCATCAATTCAGTCTTATCCAGGCACTTGATGAAAGGAATCACTAGAAAGGCCCGCCACATTGGATAACAAGTTCACTACCCAATAAGCATTTATGTGCCTGGAAGTGACAGTTGTATAGGAAGGTGGTGGGTGACTCAGGGCTTGTGAATTTAAGGTGCAGTTCTGATTTCAGGCAACGCGGCACTATGGTATTTGTCTGATAAATCAAGAGCCGTGGAGAGTAGGAACATTCGCTTCATCATGCCTGAATTATTTCAGGCTCTTGACAGGTGAGGCCAGGGGCGTGTGGGGAGCTCTTCTCCCCATTACTCACAATGCGGTGACTGTATGAGACCGTAGACGGGAGCATGTGCTTTGAGGTTTACTTCTGTTCAGGAGTTCTCACATTTTGCACTTCTTTTCCATGGGCCTGTTGGCAATCCAGCCCCAAGAATCCGTCTCAGAAACTGGATTTAGAAGCGGGCCGTGCGGTTTTGGTTTTAGATTTCTAAAGCAAACGTCTGGTCTCCAGGGCGCCACAAAGGAGCTTTCAGTTCCCGGTTTCAGTCTCCCTGTTCGGGAATAGCAGAATCGGGAAGGCCTAAGCCAGGTGCTTGTGCTTTGAAGACACTTGAAAATAGGACATAGCTCTCAAGTGGTGGTTTCTTTCTTGTTAATTCCCTAAAAAAAGTAAAGCCCTTCTCTTTCCCTTCTCGCCTTATTCGTGTTCAGATATTTGTTCTCTGAGAAGATGCTAGTAATGAAACCACTAAAGTAAAAGTTTGGTCAAAACATTAGGCACAAACTGAGGCCTTTGAAAATGTAATGTATGCCGGTTTAATCAGTGCAATTCAAAAATTCAGAGGTCAGTAGGACTTCAATGCTGATGCCACAAGATCATTTTTAGAAGAGGCAATTTATGCTACAATATATTGTTCTTTCAGCTGGTTGTTGCTTTGAGGTTAGAAGAATGCAATCTATTTTTTGCTCAACAGTCTCCTACATGCAAGTTTGCAGTTTCAAAAACTTAGCCCACCAGCAAGTCATTCCTAAGCATTTTCCTTAAAGTGTGTCTGTTAATATGTTTCTTAATATGTGTAAGTAAAATAGCTGTCAGTTTTCTTTTACTTAGTAGAATTTTTTGCCGCTAAAATTGTCAGTAATGTCATGCTTATGCTAAAAGTGAACTATATTTGTTGAACTTTAGTGTATTTTTTAAATTTATCTTTATTATTGACAGTATTATTGACCCCTTCTACCCGGCCCCCATGTTGCCCCCCACCCCTCATAGGCCTTCGCAGCACTGAGCTTTAGCGTTTTTCTTTTCTGTGTCTGGACTTTACTCTGAATAGAAGAGAGACTGCTTGGGCCAAAGACCTGCTTTCTCCTTTAATTTAGAGCCAAGTGTATGCATATATTGTGTGAAAAGAAATTTTCTAGCTGCCAACCTGAGGCTCTTAATTTGTTTGAATCTTCACCTGATTGTTGCTGACTACCCCTCCATTATTACCTGAGATTTCACCATGTCAAAACTTGTGGTCACACAGCTGGCCACATATTTTAGTCGTACATACTGCTTTGGTCACAACCCATCATCGAAAAGATGCTGGGGAAATCACACTAATTTTTCTTTTCATTTTTGAGGTAGAATTGGAGCGTATGTTTTAGGAACTAGTGGAGTAATTTTTATAACCTGCTTTGAGTATCCCGGCTGAATGAGAAATCTTTCTTTCTCTCTCAAGCTCCTTCTTGGTTATGGGAAATGTCATTGGTAGTAGCTCCTTTCCTCGACAAGGCTGCAGAAGTGCATGCTTTACCTTCTTAGTTAGTTTTCTCTACAGCTGGACTCAGAATGCTGGAATGAGTATAATTGACTCATATAATTCCTGCTTATCACTTCCCCTTGTCTAGCACATGGAGCCCAGCTCAGACCTCTTTGGGGCCTGGGGTTGAATTAAAACGTGAATCATCTTTCACTCAACCACATGGAGAGACTCAGCTGTGTCTGTCCCCTGTCCCTTTCGGTGCTAAAAAAGGCAGAGCCTGAATAGCAAGCCTTTGAAAGCAGAGCCTTGCAATAAATACATACTTTCATCAACTCCTCGAGGTGGTGATCCTCTCTATTTTAGCCCCAGAAACCCTGGAATATTCTTAAAATAGGTACTGGAAATAAGCATCTAAAATTATATTTGTACATGATCCTTTAAATGAGAAGTCCCAGCATATATATATTTTTTTCAGACCTCAGTTTTGTAGAAAATTTAAAATATGTGCCCTGGCCCATGGGACTATGTTGGCCAATGTTCTCATGTTCTCTCTCTCTCTCTCTCTCTTTCTCTCTCTCTCTCTCACACACACCTACACACAATAAGCATGTCTGTCCTCGGGTTAGGATTAAAATATACATACATACATACATACATACATAAAAATATGCCACATGCATGAATCTGCCTGTTTGTCCAGAAGTCTGACCATTACCAGCTTTGGAAGTCTGAGAGCTCTGAAAAGGGGAGACCTGGAATAATAGAGTGTGTGTAATAGGGAAGTTCCAACTGGGAATTCTAGGGATCCCACCAGCCTCTTAATCCCCGGAGCCCAGAGTCTGTAGACCCACCCCCGAACTACACAACAGAAGAGGAGCTTCCATCTTCATTTTGATGCCCACTCCGTCCCTCTGCGGCTGTGGTACGAACAGTGCGCTCAGGGTCAGCCGCTGGGAACCACTGCCTCAGAGCGAGGACATGGATGGTGTAGGACGGGCTAATGTCAGTCAAGACAACAATCTCCGCCAAAAATTATGAAGTGGAAAAGGACTTGTGGTGCTTTTGTTTTGGATTTTTTTGTTTTTGTTTTGGAGTTTTTTTGTTTTTTGGGTTTTTTTTTTTTTTGCTTTTTTTGGTCAAGATTGAATAAGGGTAGACAAATCAGTTTATAACTTCATTATTAAATATTCTTACATGCACAAGGATACTCTGAACATCTTCATCATATTCTCAGAAAAATCTATAGTGCCGTCATAGACAAAATAGTTAATGCCCAGGTTGTCAAAATACTTCTGGATGGTCCCCAAATAAGCCTTGTTTCTTATATAACAGGTCTAATGAGTTGTCCCATTTCCCTGCGTGTCCAATTATGTAGCATGACCTGAGCTCATTACAGTTAATCCCCCGGGGCTGCGGGTGGCTTATACCTTTGATATGTTCTCGGGAGGGTTTTATTAATGCACTGAGTTGGCTGAAAACAGAGCGGCTCATTGAATTTTCCCTCAGACAGTGACTTTTTTTCAGAGAGGTGGTTTTCTAGAACCCTCAGTCCCCACAAACTCCACTCCTCTTGGGCCCAGCCCACCTGGGCTGACGACAGCAGGTGAAGCTGCGCTCGGCGCCTCTGAGGGATTGTGGGGAGGGGCGGCTCAGAAATGAGCTGTGAGACTGTGGTCTGTTAATGCCATTCTGCGTTACTTTTTATTCTGTTACACACTCTTTCCTATAACATTAGGGACAGAAACAGCGAGTAACCTTGTTTCCCCCCACCCCCACCCCCACCCCTCTGATTCCCTCAGGTCCATAGTGGGGCGCAGGTTCTTCTTTATCATCGGAACGTTGTACCTGTACCGCTGTGTCACCATGTACGTCACCACGCTGCCCGTGCCTGGCATGCACTTCCAGTGCGCTCCGAAGGTAAGCACCTCTGACTGAAAACACTTACTAAACACCTGCTCTCTGTTGCTGTCTTCAGAGCACTTTCACTTGTTAAGTGAAATATTGTATAGGACTGGAGGCATGCACCAGTGGGGTCCCTTGGTCCGGCCTGTGGGATCTGGCCGGAACCAGCTCTCCCGACATCCTCTGAAGGGTCCTGGATTACGAGAGGGCACAGGCCAGGCTGAGGGATGTGGAAGGTTGGCCAGCCCGGGAGGGACTGCACAGGAGGGCTCCAGGGCTCGTCCTGCCTGTCTCACTCAGTCCCCATCTGATCTGCCAGACCCCAGAAGCAAGCTAACCTACGGGTCAGAGCGTCTGCCCCCTGGTGGTCAGTGAACATCATAGCAGGCAGTTGAGCAGCCTTAGCATACCTTAGCTGACACATGTGTCAAACACAAGGCCCGCGGGCCAAATCCGTCCCGCTGTCATCACTGCACTCCGCTGCGTTTCCATCACAATGACAGTTTATGACTGTTCAGTAAACCATTCGGCCCGCGATTTAGGCTGGATTTTAGATTTTGGCCCCTTCTCTGATTGAGTTCGACACCCCTACGGCATGTTAAGCTTTGAATGACTGAACAACAGACGACTGGGCACTTAGCACATTAGGCTTTTATTACATAGGATATTTTCTGTTTTTCTCTAGATTTAGGGGTAAGAAAATTAAAATGTGTTCATAAAATGTGTATCTTCATACATAAAAAATTCATTTTCTGTTACCTCAAAGTTGCTGTTGGGAATTTGACTCCACTGTTGTACCTTTACTTACTGGCCTATGCATTCATTTTGCAAGTGCTCCGCTCCTGTTATGTTCCAGGCACTGTGTAGCAGCAGTGACTAAAACAGTTCTTCCCTTACAGCTTACATTCTATTGAGGGATGACAACGGATAAATGTATAAATTGTGCCCGGCCGGTGTGGCTCAGTGATTGAGCGTCACCCTATGCACCAAGGAATTGCAGTTTGATTCCTGGCAGAGTACATGCCCGGGTTTCAGGCTTGACCCCCCAGTGGGGGTATGCAGGAGGCAGCAGATCCTCTCTCATCAGTGTTTCTGTCTTTCTATCCTTCTCCCTTTCTCTCTCTCTCTCTCTCTCTCTCTCTCTCTCTCTCTCTCTCTCAAATCAATAAGAACATATTTTTTAAAGAACTGTATAACTTGTCACATGGTGATGAGCCAGGCGGCTATCAGATGCATGGTAAACCTGAATCCCAGTGAAAGGGACTGCGAGGGTAGGTGTTAGTTCGCAGAGGGGTCAGAAAGCCCCTTCAGTGAGAAAGCATCTGGGCAGCAATCACAGGAGGGAGAGAGCCTGTGGACGGGGTGAGAGCCCCAGGCCGAGGAAACAGCTCAGTCACGGCGCGTCAGAGAGAGAGAGAGAGAGAGAGAGAGAGAGAGAGAGAGAGAGAGAGAGAGAGAGAGAGAGAGAGAGCGCGCGCGCGAGAGGGAGAGAGAGAGAGAGAGAGAGAGAGAGAGCGCGCGCGCGCGCGCGAGGGAGAGAGGGGGAAGGCCATGCGGCTGATGGAACTGTGTAGATCAAGGTGGTGCAGCCACAGAGCCCATGGGGCCTCGTGGCCATCGCAGGCACTTGAACCATGGTCGTGGCAAGTGAGTAAGAAGTGAGGAGTCATTCCCTTTGGGACATGGTGAAGGTGGGGCCAGCTGGTTGTGCTAATCAGTAAGATACGGGTTTAAGAGAAAGCAGCCAAGGATGACCCCAGTTTTCAGCAGTTGGAAAGGCAGAGTGGCCTTTTGCGGAGACAGTCTGAGGCACTGAAGCTGCCTTAAGCAGGATTTACAGCTTCGCTAGGGAGAGTCCCTTCTCGAGAGAGATTTTAATCATCCCGGCCCCGGTGCACCCTGGTTTATAACAAAGGAGACTTACAAATCCTGCCTGTGCTCCCTGGACAAGGGGATGGAGTCTGACACCGGATTTCACTGGACACTAAGCAGAAGTCCAAGGTGGATGGAAAAACAGAGTTGTTGTGAAGCAGTCAACCATCTCCCGCCCCAAATATAGGTGTGGTTTGGAGAAGCTGTAATTTTCCAAAGCCGTCAAAGCAGAGAGTGTCTGTGATTAAAGCAGTGTACATATTGAATTTAAACATTGGCTGATTTTTTAGCGGAGCTAAATTAAGGCACAGGAGAAGTTCAGAAGCATAATAAACATTTCTAAGGGGTTCTTGCAATGTGGTAAATGGAGAAACGACCTCAGGGGAAAAAGGCAGGCATCCATCCTAGTGGGTGAGGTTTGCAGGGGTGATTACGGACAGACAGTGTCCTTGGTGGAGGAGCTGCCATTTCCAGAAGCCACGTTAGCAAACGTCGTCCTGGATAACCCGGCCACACAGACAGAGGGGGCTCTGGCGGCATCCTTACCAACCAGCCCCCACGCTCCTGGAGTCTGAGCAGGCGCTCTGTGCCCGACCTGTGACTCAGTGAGGCAAACATGGCAGCTCTGTTCGACAGAAACGATCGCTGTGTTAGACCAGGAATGAGAATTGCATCCCGCATGTGGTTACCGGGCTACTAGGTAATCTGCCTGCCTCCTTTGTTCCTGACTCTCTAGATTGAACACCCTTCAAGACTGTAGGCAATGGCAGAGCTGTGTGTACTGACACCACTTGCTGTGGGAGGATGTCAGGTCTCCTCGCTGAGGCCTAACCCAGCTCACTCCTCGCCAGCTGTGGCCGCCCCAGCAGCCATCACAGCTCTGGGTCCCTGGGGACATCGTGGCTCTCACGGTCTTCCTTCCAGCTGCCTTGCCCCACACCTACCCTCTGGTTTCCCTTAAGTCCTCTGTTTGTGATTTGCCTTAAGCCACCAGCCCAAGCTTTTGTTGGCAGTCACAAAACCTTTGTTCTGAAAAGTGTGTTTAAATAAATTGCACATGAGCTGAAACCGGTTTGGCTCAGTGGATAGAGCATTGGCCTTTGGACTGAAAGGTCCCGGACGGGTTCGATTCCAGTCAAGGGCATATATCTTGGTTGTGGGCACATCCCCAGTGGGGGGGGCGCAGGAGGCGGCTGGTCGATGCTTCTCTCGCATTGATATTTCTAACTCTCTATCCCTCTCCCTTCCTCTCTGTAAACAATCAATAAAATATATTTTTAAAAATAATAAATAGCGCATGAAATTATGTAGCTCGTTAAGCCTATGTGGCCACGTACAAGCATGCTGGGCTGGCACGGTTACAGCCCCAGCCCTGAGAAGCCCCCGGTCACCCTGGCTGCGGATGCCACTGCACTTACCTTTGCTGAAGGGACGTGTACAGGGGAAGGTTTCGGTTTGGCAGTCGTCAGGCTGGGCTCTCTTGAACCTTATTTATTTTTGTGGAAAACAGGATGTGGTGGTCACAGTTTGAGGAGTCCTGAAGGTCTCTGAGCCGCATCTGCTTTGGCTGTTATGATTGATGCTTCTCCTCTCAGATTTCTGCATCTTCAGTTCCATAGTCAGCAGTGCAGGCGTGGAGAATGTCCGGCCAGCAGGCCCAGATCGTTTGGTCTGGGCCTGCCAAGGCCTTAGCGGGGAGCTAATTAAGTGTTTGACCAAATACAGCAGGCGAACGCTTAAGTTGATAATGTTGTGTGGCCCGCCAGTGATGTGATAAATCTCCAAATGGTCCTTGGCAGAAAAAAGGTTCCCCACCCCTGCTGTGATGGCATAGAATAGTGTCTGAAAAATGAGGGAAGGAATAGGAACTGGGTTCTTTTTTCTTTTTCTTTTTTTTTCTTTTTAATATATTTTATTGATTTTTTACAGAGAGGAAGAGAGAGGGATAGAGAGTTAGAAACATGGATGAGAGAGCATCATCAATCAGCTGCCTCTTGCACAACCCTTACTGGGGATGTGCCCGCAGCCAAGGTACATGTCCTTGACGGGAATCGAACCCAGGACCCTTCAGTCCGCAGGCCGATGCTCTATCCACTGAGCCAAACTTGATTTGCGGAACTGGGTTCTTATGTGGTATGTGGCGGGGGTTCCAGTGAACTAGAAAAGAATTAGAACAGGAGGAGGAAACAATCCAGTATTTCCCTAATTGTCCCTCCTATTTCTCAGTATTCTTTCTACACTCTTTTTTTTTAAAACTTTTTGTTTGGAGGTTCTGTTTATTCTGGGTGTGATCTGACATCTAGGGGTGACACCCTGAGAGACCAAGGCCTGAGAGAGACGGCGAGGAGAGAGTGCCCCTCTCTGACCTGTGGAGGGCATTGCGTCAGGTGCTCTCAAGCTCCATTCACCAGAGTAGCTGAAAGAGAGAAGAGCATGTCTGCTTGTTTTGGCTCCTAGTTTGTATGTGCCTTGGGGTCATCTAGCCTGGAATGGCTCCAAGTGTTTCTGCTCTTAGAAAACTAGAGTATTGAGTTGGGATGAGTGAGTAAATAAAAAAAATAAAATTATTAGGTTTTGAAATAAAGAATAACGTGTCCTTTTAGACTGGGAGCAGAGCGTATGGACCTTATCTCATCTCAGAGTTGACAGTTGTTTGCACCAGCCGTGTGACAAATTCCTCAAGGGCTGTGGTTCGTCCGATGAGGCCCGTGGCCGGATCGTGTCCTCCACAGAGTTGCATGTGGCTGGTGGCACGTCTCGGAGCTGCACCTGAGTCGAGTCCTGAGTTGTCAGCTGTCCTGGAAGAGAGAGGGATAGACAGTTTAGAAACATCAATGAGAGAGAATCATCCATCAGCTGCCTCCTGCGCACCCCCCACTGGGGCTGTGCCTGCAACCAAGGTACATGCCCCTGACCGGAATCGAACCCGGGACCTATTGGTCCGCAGGCCGACGCTCTATCCACTGAGGCAAACTGGTTTTGGCCCTAAGCAAACTTTTGATGGTTAAATTTCTGCAAAACCCCTGTCTCCAGCCTGCCCTGTGATCCTGGTTGACGTCTTTTTCTCAGCCGCTAAGGATCGTGGTGTGGGCTTTTCCACAAGGTTCACCGAACACCGGAAAGCTCCCAGGCCCATCAGGTGGCTACCCCTGGAGAAAGGTTTAGGCTCCCGTTGTGGGTGTTTAGGCCAGCTCTCCTGCCCCAATTTCCACCGTCCTGGATGGGATGGGTTACCGCGTGCTTGAGGCTACCTTCATTTCCCTGCCCCTGGACTCTCTTCCCATCCTTCTCTCACGTCTCCCCCCCTTCACCGCCACACGTCCTCCTGGACTAGACTCCCCTGTCCTTCCCACCACACAGCCGAGCCGCCGCCGTGGAGAGCTGGCCGTGCTGTGCGGACGGCTGCCCGGAGGGTCGGCGTTGAGTCTAAAGGGCCTCCTGTCGTCCAGCTATTCCCTCAGGTCCCCAAAATAGTCATTAATGCTCTGCCTAAAATTCTCTTCTCATGTGCTGTTTCTCAGTCTTATTTCTGAGTACCACCCTTTATTTTTCTAAACCTAATCAGTTTATTCTAGATTGATCTTAAACCCTCCCTCTGGCCTCCCAGAATGTCAGTGTTTCACTTTTCCACCCTCACCGTAGGGAGCACCTCGGCCCACTCCGCCTCCTGGTAGGCTTATGTGTTAATGGCTACAAGCTTGACTGTTGCCTCAAACTCCTGCCCGGCCCATCACTGTTCCCCATACCATCGTGATGGCTTCTGTGTCCTTGCCCAAGGGAGCTCTTTCCTGGCCACAGGAAATACTTTTGGGGATATTTTGCCTGATCAGGGCTCCTCGTGTTTAAAGCTGTCAATACATCGCTAATCCATAATTTCCAAAATTATTTAAAGTGTTGCAGCTTCCCTTTTCGACTGTGTTTGATCAAATCTTAATTTAGCTATCTACACACTCAGACTGCCCACTTAACACAAGGTATGAACACACTGTTCAATATTAGTGAGGTGCTATTCAGCTAAATCAAATATTAACCATCGAAACCATGATACCTCCCGGCAAGGAGGGAAGAGCATAGCTTTGATCTTTTTTAGCACATAGCTGTGGTGAGATCATTGTTATTAATGTTTTTAAAAGCTTTGCTCAGGATACGGCATCGCCAAAATGTATTATTAGTAACGTATTGAATAATTAAAAACCTGTCACTAAAACTGGCCAATATAATGAATAAAAGCCAAGTTTGGGCACTTCCCCCGGGGATTCTTTTTTACTTTTTAAGTTAAAAAGAAAAGTCACAACCTGGTGACCTTTCCAAGCATCACATAAATTAGGCTGAATCACGATTTTATCAGCTTGTAAATTTTCCTCCCAATCTTCTTGGGTCACTCAGCTCAACGGAGACTCTCAGGCCAAAGTGCAGCGGATCCTGCGGCTGATCTCCGGGGGAGGGCTGTCCATAACGGGATCGCACATCCTGTGCGGAGACTTCCTCTTCAGCGGCCACACGGTTGTGCTGACATTGACGTATCTGTTCATTAAAGAATGTAAGTAACTCATCCCCACTTGATGGGTCATTGTAGTGGGAGGGATCGCTAGGCGCTGAATCTGGTGGGAGCCCTTATTCTGTTAGAATTGATAGAGGTGTGTGTGTGTGTGTGTGTGTGTGAGAGAGAGAGAGAGAGAGAGAAAGAGAGAGGGAGGGAGGGAGAGAGAGAGAGAGAGAGAGAGAGAGGGAGAGAGAGAGATAGAGAGAATTTGTTGTTCCACTTACTGATGCATCCATTGGTTGCTTCTTGTGTGTGCCCTGCCTGAGAATCAAACCCACAACCTTGGTGGGATGACGGCTCTAACCAGCTGAGCTACCCGGCCAGGGCTGGCTTGAGATCTTTTAAATTGTGTAAGTTTCCATAGAGCAAGGAAAGAATTACATTCTCCTCGTTCCAGTCTTTGAAGTAAAACGGCAAATCTGTTATCTTAATACAACTCAGCTTTAAAGTCAGCTCTCCACATCAACAGGACACTCCATGGTTATGCCCATGTCCTATGCAATTGGGGAAACAGTCACTTTCTAAATTATACATGTGCCGTCGTCCTGAGTAAGCAGTGGTCCCAGTGGTCTCTCGGAGCAGCCTACTTCTGGGATTCGATGCATCGTTTATGCATGCTTTGCTTTCCCGTCTTTTGACCAATTTGGACTCCTCCTCCTTTGTGCCGTGGCCGTGAGTGGGTTTGAATTCAGTCACATGGGCAGGTGAAAACGTGGGAGCAGGGCCACTTCAGAAGGCTCCCCCCCCCAGGCAGATACTGTCATTGGGCCTGGGTGCCTATAGAATCAGCCTGGCTCCTCGTACTCTGTGTCCTGCTGGTTGAGAAGACATCTTTTTAGCCTTGCTACCACACCAAGTCCATTGTCTCTGTTCACTGACAGCTGGGCTAGGGTCCCACAGACAGTGGAGTTATTAATATGTGTGTCATCCACTTTTACACCTGCTCCCTGTGGCATCCCCTCTCCCCTTCCTTCCTCCTCCTCCTCCCTCCTCCCTCCTCCTCCCTCCTCCTCCTCCTTCCTTCCTTCCTTCCTTCCTTCCTTCCTTCCCAAGCGAGCCCTGGGCTGTCCCAGCCACTCGTTTTGGGTTATTAGTTCCCACCTCTGGAGACTTGTCCTGCCTGAGGCCGGTAGGAGGGACAGGTCAGTAAGCTCCTCTCCGGGGACCTCATTCCTCCCGTTCTCTCCCGCGCAGACTCGCCCCGGCACTTCTGGTGGTACCACCTGGTCTGCTGGCTGCTGAGCGCCGCCGGGATCATCTGCATCCTCGTCGCTCACGAGCACTACACGGTCGACGTCATCGTTGCCTATTACATCACCACGCGGCTGTTCTGGTGGTACCATTCGATGGCCAACGAGAAGGTGAGAGCGCCGAGGCGGCCCTCGGATCAATAACCTCTTTCCGTGCCAGGGAGCCCCTTCGTACAGTGGGGTTTTGGTGGCTTCGTGGGAACAGCTGCCCAGGCGTGTGGTTAGCTCACTTTTCAGTTCTTGCACTTATAGCCATTATTGCGCCTTAAAATAAATAACGTCACAAGTGTAAATAACATTTAAGGACAAAAATGTATGACTAGAGAGCACAGTGTTATACTAATTCAACATCTGTAATTTATTGAGAATTAAAGAAGAGCACATGCTAAATGAAAATGCAGGCACGTGCCGAAACCGGTGTGGCTCAGTGGATAGAGCGTCGGCCTGCGGACTGAAAGGTCCCAGGTTCGATTCCGGTCAAGGGCATGTACCTTGGTTGCAGGCACATCCCCAGTGGGGATATGCAAGAGGCAGCTGATTGATGATTCTCTCTCATCGATGTCTCTAACTCTCTATCCCTCTCTCTTTCTCTCTGTAAAAAAATCAATAAAATATATATATTTTTTAAAGAATGCAAGCACCTTCTCTGTAGCAGCACTGAGGTGCAATCCGGCAAACCCTTGCCTTCAGAGAACTTAAGCTTGAGAACAACTTGGCAACTGTTTTGGGAAGCCAGGCAGATAGAGCCCCTGTGAATGAGCGGGGTTCGTGCCTCTTTGGGGGATGTGGTGCTCTCCGCCTTCTTTCTTGTTTGGTTTCTGCTGCATCCTGTTTGCAGATGCCCTTTTTTCTTCTCCCACACATTCTGAGAGCGCTCGCTCCAAGGCCACCTGATCTGGGAAGGCTTCCCGGGCTCCGCGCTCTGCCGCTAGTCCCCACATGGAATTGTTCCTCCCCTCCCTGTGCTTTCCTAGCCGTGGTGCGTGTCCAGCCGTTAGTCTGTGTGCCATGACCTACCCTGGGGCCGTCTTGCCATTTTGTCCGTGGCATGCAGCGTTTGGAGGGTTTGGGAGAGGTTGAAATGTGTCCTTCCCAAAGGCTCCAAGTCCAATTCCCAAGTAGAGGTGCCCGCTGATGAAGGCCCTCTCTGCGGGTCTGTCTCGCAGCTCTGTTTCCTGCTGGGTAGTCTCCTGTTGCCATCTTCCACTCAGGGGTCAGCTGACACCACAGAGCGCTCTTCTCCCTCTGCCATCCTCCCTGACCCACACATCCGACTACTCAGTTTCTGAAAACTGTTCCTCCTCGGTAACTGCCACCTGCATTCCTCAGGCCCCGTGGTGGCTGGAATTGCAGGCAGGCGATTGGCATGAGCCACAGGAGGGAAGACGGAGGGGCTGGGGAGGGTGGGACCAGGTCACATCTGAGTCGAGAGGAGGCGCGGACAGTGTGCCTTGGGGTCCGGGTGCTGCTACAGCAGTGACAGTTTAATGAACAGCGGGAAAGGGGGAGGGGGATCGGGATGCATGGAGAACGCGTCTCATTTTACTTTCCCCCCTGCCTTTTGCAGAACCTGAAGGTCTCTTCACAGACTAATTTCCTATCGCGTGCGTGGTGGTTCCCCATCTTCTATTTTTTTGAGAAAAACGTACAAGGCTCGATTCCTTGCTGCTTCTCCTGGCCGCTCTCCTGGCCTCCCGGCTGCTTTAAGTCTTCGTGCAAGAAGTACTCCCGGGTCCAGAAGATGGGGGAGGACAGCGAGAAATCTACCTGAGGAGCCGCACCACGGCTTCGGCTCTCACGCCAAAAGAGGTGTCGCTGTAACCAAAGGTATAGTTTTGTGTGTTTTTTTTTTTTTTTTTAATGTTAGGAGAACTGACTGGTCATTGAAGACGTGGACCAAATTTTGTGTAAATGGTTAGAAAGATGAACTGGTTTTTTATGCCTCCGGAGAAAGTCCTGTCCTGTGGCTCTTCCTCCGCGGGAGGCCAGCCCCGCTCCCCCGGGACTTCCTGGCGAGCTTGTGAAGCGGTGCCTCCAAAGAACACGCTGCCTTTCCTGCGTCTTTCTCCACCGAAGCGTTTTTTTTTCAGGATTTCTTTTCCTCCAACGTCAGAAGAACCTGCCAAGGTTTTCAATAAACTATCTGGGCGGATACAACTGCCGTGTCACTGGATAGCCTGATGTCGAGAGCGGATTTGAGCGTTGGGCCTCTCGAGGAGGGGGGGAGACGCAGGGGTTGTGAGTAAGCTTGGGGTGAACGTATTCCCCCCGCCCTCATCAGGGTCATCAGGGTCCGGTCCGCGGATACGTACTGCTGCTACCACCCGAGGTACTGTGTGTCATCTTCACTTTATTTATTTTTTAAACAGATCATTTTATTTAAAACGTTAAAAGAAATGTGATCTAAGTAAATATGGGAATATTTGGCACATCCCACAGAGTTTGCTTGGATGTAAATATTTAGTTTTCAGAGCTCCGTGAAGATGCACAGGGCACAGGGCTGTGTCTGCTCACAGCGGTCCACCTGTGTGCGCCCTGGCCTGCCGTCTGCCCGGTACATTTGCACCCGGTGCCCCAGCGCGGCAGACTGCCGGGCACAGGCTGAACAACGCGTGGGCAAACAGTTGCCCGTGCCACGTGGGGAACAAGCCTGCATCCTCTCCCCCCGGGTGAGGCCTGTTTCAGGGCTGCTCATTGGAACTCAGACATGCAATTGGTCACATTTCACTAGACCCACTTCTTCCTGGTTACAGTCTGCTTTATGGGAAAAGCAAGACGGGGTCCAAAAGTTTAATGAATGCATCCTTGCCTTTTTTGCAAGAGGCCCAGCTTCTTACAAAGAGGCCCAGCTTCTTGTAAACGGGGTGTTTATAGGAAGGAAGGACTAAGGAGACACACCACCATGGAGTCATTTTACTCTGACCCTGAAACCACACTACGGTGCTGCACTCGAACCTGCAGTTGGAATCCAGCTGTGAGTGTAGCTAGTCGATACAGGGGCCCGTCGTCGTTTCTAAAGTCCTCTCAGGTGATGCAAACAGAGAGGGACTGGATCGGACTTAACGCTGTCAGAGTTAGTGCATGGTTTCATGCTGTTGGGACTGCAGACAGTTCTTAATTTCTTACAACTCCTAAGACCTTAGGCAAAGATCTAAAGTTACACAGTCATCCCCACAAAGACAAGAGAGGGAAGACAGTTACATTGGCATTGAAGGTAAACATTTCCCACCACGGAGAAGGAAAAGCAAACAACAAAACAACAGAAACCACCCCTGAACGTGTCATGAACTAGTCAGCCCCTGATTGGATGTACAAAACAGACCTTTAAATTACTTGAGTGAAGCACAGAACAAACCTAAACGTGTTCAGGAAGGGTCACGATGCTTTGGTGCTAACATTCTCTGTGCTTCCGGTGTGGCGCCTGCCTTGTGTGCTAGAAGAATCACTAAAGGACACGTAGCTGAATGCAGCACCAGGAAGAAAGAGTCTCTCACCTGGTATTTAAAACAAGAAACAAAAACCCTTAAACCTTCTTGACAGGTTTTGAAACGCAAGAAGTTCTTCTTGGTATTTATCACTAAGCCAGTAAGAAACATAACCATACCTTGCCAGATGGTTAGCTGGAACCCCACATCATTTTCGCATACTAAGTAGGGGCACGAGTGAAAAAACAAGGTGTTCTGTGTGAAGACACGGAGATTAAATTCCTGCAGTCTGATTGTGAGGAAGAACATCTGGCTCGGAAGCCTGGGCCTGTCTCTCCTGACACCAGTCCATGGAGCCTCTGCTTTCAATGAGGCAACCCGGTCTGTCTGAGAGAGCCCCCTCTTCATCAAATTAAATTAGGGGACATATTTAAGCTTTTCAAATCCTGGTGCATTGGTTGCTGAGGCCCTCGAAATTGTAAAACTTGCATTTTAGCCAGGTAACTAGTTTTGTTTTTAAATAATGCCATCACCTTTTAAAGAACTTGTAAAAAAGCTTCTGACTTCGCCTGTGGGTACAGCTGCCCCGTGTTCCTTGCAGTGTGTGCCGTAGCTGTCTCTTAGACGCTGCGGAAGCTTGTGGTACCAGAATAAGGGTGGAGGGAAAATAATCAGGTTTCAAGGTGGGAAGGTGAGAATAGTGAATCTCATTTACATTTAGGGAAGCAAACTTGAGCTCTAACCCAACATGCCACTTTGGAATATGAAATGTGAACCATTACTAGACTTAGGGTGGTGATCATTTCACAGTATATAGAAATAGCAAATCATTATGTTGTGAACCTGAAATTAATACGTCCCTTATATCTCTGTTTTAAAAAAAAATTTTTTTTCGATCTTGTCTTTGAAACAATAAACTTCTGGAGCTCCTTTTCCTTGCTAATCAAGATATAACATCCTACCAATTATTCTTTTTGTGGACTAGTGCTCCTCTTGGAAGCTTTTCCTATAATTTAGTCCCTTGTGCAGTATCTATAACATATAATTCCGTTAAATTATACTACTTCTTTCCTAAATTCTTTGAAATGGAAATGAATTCCTCTCATTGTAATTTTGGAGCTCCTCCACTAGCTCTGGAAATAAAGCATTCTTCCTCAAATCCAATGGAAGTAATTTGGAATTTATAATTCACTGGCATCTTGGAAAACAAGTTTTGCTGTGGAAGGCTGTTTTGAGTAAGGGCGAGTCTAGTCTGCTTTATGGATGACTTTGCATTAGGTTCTTGGGCTGCATACCAGCGTCCCCTAGTGGAAATACGTTATATGACTCTGAACGCAAACCTGCCACTTTTTAAAGTGTATTTTCAAGTTTTTAAAAGGCGTATGTTTTTTATTTATTTTTTTGCCAATAATCTTGAAAGCATAATGCAAAAGGAATTATGTTAAAGGTATTTTAAACCTTTCCCAAAGGGAAAAATGTACTTATATCACAGGGAGTTGCAATTCTAATCTTTTGTCCATTTGATTGAAGAAAATTTGCAGGCCATTTTTACCTCTCACTGTCACAATCGTTAATGTCTCTCTTTATAACCGACACTTTGTTTACTTCAAAACACCAAGTTGGCTGCCTTTTTTTATTTTACATGTTAGATAGAACTCATGCAGTTTTCTTTTTTTATTGAAAGTTCACATCTTGTTCCTTGAATATTTTGAACATTTTTTTGAATTATTTTTTTATCGTTTATTTTTGTTTTGCACTGTAAAACCGATTAAAAATTTAAGCCCGTCTTAGCACAGGAAGTGAAAGAAGGAATTAAATGTGTGTGCATGTTTAAATCAAGCATATTAAAAGTAATATGCCATGTGTTGAAAGTTTTTCTGTTTGTATGTATAAAGATTCCTAGCATTTTTGTCTAATGTCATTGTGTTGCAATAATTTAACTCATTTGATTTACTTGCTAAAAATATTTTGTCTGTTAAGAAGTGCTCTTGACTTCAATACCTAAACACTGAAAATTGTGTCTAAGGTGCCCAAAGATAAGTTTTTCGATAGATTTACACCTTATAAGTTGGGATCTGTTTTGTTATTCGTTAATTTAACTATGCTGTGTTCTAAATGAATCATGAATGAGACTAGTTCTTTATTCTGGAATTATTTAAAATTGTCCTTTAAAAGAATAAGAGGAAGCTATAAATATAAGCTAATCTAGTTGCCAAGTTGGGATTCATTATTTAATTTACCTCTTATGCAATGATTAATGCTGCAAAATGTATGGTTATATTATGGTATGTTCTCAAAAGAAATATTACTGCGAGATTTGAGAGGTGTAGCCTATTGTCTTCTTTCAGAAACTTACTGTACTGTTCCAATGTGTTAAGTGCCTTGTTGTAAAGTAAAATTTTAAGCCTAGAATGCGTTATTTTCCTGACATATATTTTTCATTATGATATATACTGTATGTTATTATAATAGTTTTATTAAATGCTTATGTTTTAATCAAATATGTGAATTTCAGAAGCTCTTTTCTCCTACCCACCAGTACCTTAATCATTGGTCTATCATGGGATTTGAATTCAGGTCTTTTTTTTTTTTTAAAGAGGAAATTATCTTTGTTTAGAAGTATGTTTTCCATGCTTGTGCTTTTGTATTTGTAAAAACATTTCAGGAGGAATTTAGAAGTGTAACTATAGTTTGTACTTTAAAATGCCATTTTACATTTACATTTTAAGTGCCTAATTGTTAGTTAAAACTAATTTATGTTTTTATTCTAAAGACATATGTGTACTTGGTTTCTAGTCTCTTTGGCTTTGCTTTAAAAACACACACACACACAAAAAAAAAACACAAAAAAAAGCAAGAGCCTCTACTTCCTATTTACCCAATAAACCACCATGTCAGCAACAGTATTTTCAAAATCAGTACTACTATTTCTTTCAATTAAAAAAATTACTGTTTTCTTTAAAGACTTAAAAAGTTTAGTCCACAAGTGGATTATTTTTTTCAAGTACTGTTTTTAAAGTGAGCTGATAACTTAAACTGAGTGTTATTTTTCCTGCCCTTGGGTTTAAGGTGAAAAAAACAATTCAGCCCTGGCCAGGTAACTCGGTTAGTTGGAGTGTTGGTCCCCGCACGAAAAGGTTGTGAGTTTGATCTCTGGTCGGGTGTGTACGGGAGGCAGCTGGTTGGTGCTCCCCCACCCCCTGTCCTTTGTCTAAAAATCAATAAACTTATCATCGGGTGAGGATTAAAAAATAATAATTCATAACAACATGAGGTCATTCGTGGAGAAGAAAAGTCAGTTCCCTGCTCTATGATTTTGATTCTCGTTCACAAAGAGACAAAATCCTGTCAGTGAGAAAGAAATGTCACCCTCATCCCTTCCCAGAGGTGGCGCCAGGGTAATGTCCTCAGCTGAACCCCACAGGATGGGATCGTCATTGCAACAGCGGACTGGTGACTTGTTTTCGGGCCCTCTGATCGAAGATGAAGACCTGATGACCAAAGATAAATTGAGTTGAACCAAGGAACTAGGGTGAGATAATTAGAGTTCCAAGGCTAAGTTGTTGAATATAGTCCAGGTTAATTTGGATTATCTGGAAACAATAAGAGTAGAGATCAGAAGAGTCTTTTGCCACCTACACCCAGGCCTCGGGTGAAAAACTGGCCCCATCTTCCCTTTTGAGACTTCAGCACACCAGTTTTGCTGGCTACAGCCCCAAGAGCGTCCTTCTCAAGGAGCTGATGTGCTGTTGCACAGACCTTGACATCTAACATTTCATTTTCTTCTAGTAAAATACATGAGAATATCAAAAGCGTAACACCAGATCATTCACTGAAACAAGCACGGCTTATGCACCGTGTCCACAGGATGCACAGTTACTCCGTACATCGCCCGTGTGATGAGACAGGGCGGTTTACAGTTTTTAGGCTCCACCTACATTCTCTCATCTTCACGGAGCCCTGCGAGGCAGGCACAGAAGAAGTGGTGACCCCATTCTGTGAGATGAAAGCGTTCCTACTGTCAGAGCTGGGAGCCTGAGTTCTGTTTTCTCTGTTTGGCGGCCTCCCTGTCATAATTACTGGGGTTGCCACCCCCGTTTGTTAAAGGTGCTGTTGTTTGTTTGTTTGTTTGTTTGTTTGGGGAGTTGGTTCCCTTTCGGCCAGTTAGTTTGTTTAAAAGGGAGACTGATCCTTGGAACAAGTTCTTTTGTCAAATGCTACCGATTTTTCTTACAGTTGCAGTTTACATTTAAATAGAGTTTACATTTCAGAGGGGAGGAAAGTCACTGTTTCTGGTGCAAAACAGCATTGAAGGCAAAGGGACCCCCAGTGTTGGACTCACAAGTTTGTTCCAGTTGCAAGTATCACGTGTAGCATAGACCCAGTCGTGCGCTTGGCCTGGCACAGGTTAAAGGGGGAGCATCAAAGTGCATGGGCTGTATCTCTAAGTGACCCTCAGGACTTCCTCCCAAGGGGATGTCATAAAGGAGAGATGGGGTTGCCCTGCTTTCAAAGAGCAGCACAGCCCTGATGGAATGGCATGGAATTGGAGGTCAGTGTAGTCCTGATCCATTCTGGGCTCCCCAAAGGACCGCAGTGACGCCACAGGATTGTTTGATCCTGGCATGAACTGCTGAGTTTTCTGTTCTAAAAACTCTGGCCAAACCCATATGCGTGCGTGCTTCTGGCCAAGTTTCAGGGCACAGGCACACTTGACTTCAGTTGCCAGATACAAGCACTAATCTCTTTTTCTTTCTAAGCTCCTTAAACAATGTGTTTATGTGGGTAAAAGGAAAAGAAGCTGCCTACCCAAGGCACTGCTGATAGGTTTCCCCTGACCTGACATGCACAGCAGCCCTGCCAGCTGCGGCTCATACGCTCCATCCACAGGTGAGGGAACTCCAACAGAGGTAAATGCTGGGCAGGGGCCACACAGATGTGGACCCCAAGAACGCCCAGGCCCCTCGTCTGCTCTCTGCGCAGCGCGACAGGAGTCACCCACGTGCAAGGAACGCAAACAGAGAAGACGTACCGCCTCTGGAAGTCTTAGCCACCAGATTTGTGTTGAGAGCAAGGCCAAGGGGTGCTGGCCACTGAGCCTTCTGAGATCCTGTGGCCCACACGTAGCAGAATTCCTGTTTCCACGTGAACACCAGTCCTATCACCCATAAATATGTGCTTTTCCTCTTTATATTCTCATGCCTTGTAATTGATGCGTGATGTGTGGGCAAAACTGTTGTTCCCTTCATTCATCACATACCTGCCTGAGGCCATGGCAGAGGGTGGCAGAGGGACGCTGGGCCCAGGGCAACTAAACTCCCAGAGCCCACGCCCAACGTCTCCAGGAAGGAGATCTTTGCTGGGAGATGGCACTTGTGAACCTATTTTTTTATCTAGTCAGTTTCCTAGTTCATGGTTTGAAGACAATGTTTCTATCTGGCACAGGGGGAAAGACATCCCCTGATGTGTTAGGGAAATGACACGTTCTTAAACAATGAACATTTATTTCTCTCAGTCCAGGGAAGCCTGAGACCAGGGTGCCAGCATGGTCAGGCTCTGCGGAGGGCTCCCTTCCAGACTTCCTCACATCGGGGCTGGGGGTGGGAGTGGGGGTTGAGGGGTGGGGGAGGGGGGTCTCTAGTCTCTTACTCCTGTAAAGGATACAAATCTCATCATCTCATCGTGGACCTCTATCCTCACGACCTCACCTAAAATTAATTACATCCCAAAGATCACATCTTCTTATACCAGGGGTTAGGTGCCGCATCCATTTGCAGCAAGGGTTCAGGATCTGAAGAAGGGGCCGCGCACAAACGAAAACAAGAACTAGGAATTTAGGGGGGCCAGGCAGAAACTTCCCTCTCATAGAGAAGCTCTCTGAAACCCTGGACCTGTTAGCTTTTATTCAGTTTTAGATACACATCTTACCCTCAGTTAGGCATGGTAGTCCAGCAGCAGACAGACTATCTCAAAAGGTCAGTAAAAGATCAGTAAAGATTAACTTTGAGGTTATTAGGTCAGGAAATTGCTCCGAGCCACCGCTATCTCGACAGAATGATCGGTGCATAGTTTTTCGCCCGGCTACAGCTCGAGGTTCATCAGCCTTCTGAGTTCCTTGTTGCACTTGCAAAGTAGTGTTGACAATGGATGGCTCCCCGCAGTTAGGGTTTCACATATGGATTTTGGGGGCACACAAACACCTGGGTTTTTAAGTTTTACATAAGCACGTCTTTTTAAAGTACTATTGTACTTATAGTGCAGACTCAAGTGCTTGGGTTTCATGATTCTTCCTAATTAGAGCCCTACCTATGCAAGGCACTTCCCACTGCTCTCAACCACTAGCACCCTCTGCCCGGGACAGGCTGCTCTGTCTCTGTCCTCTGTTCCGCAGTGATCCGTCCTCTTCTGTGATGTGCTTCCCCATCCTGAATGTCACCTGTCTCCCCAAGAGACAACACGGGGGCCCTGTGCTCTCTGGGTTTGAATCTCAGTTCTTCTAGTTCTTCTACTTTTTAAAGAAGACCTTAAAAAGTTGTCTAACTTCTCTGTGCCTGAGCTTCTTTATCTGGAAGATAGAAATAATAATAGTCTGCATCCCATAGAGTTGTTAGAAGAACTAAATGAAAGATGTTGTTACAAGACACTCATTGAATAAGTGTTGGCCAAGTTCAGTTAACAAAAACTGTAGTATCATGGCTCTAGCCCTGAAATTATTAACATCCAAATCTTGCCTGTCCTGGGAGTTCAGCTAAAGTCTTATCTCCTGAAAGCTTTACCTTTTCTGAATTCCTCCCTAAAAAACACATACAATTGCCAAAAGGTGAGATACAATCACTACTTTAAGATTTAAAAAATATATCCTGTTTCCATACCAAATTAAAATTCCTTTAAAGAGGGTTGTCTTAATGTTCATTTCAGTGTCTAATAAAGTTCTTATCAACCAAAGGACTTGTATGCATGCATATATGCCTAACCAATGGACACAGACAACAGGGGGGTGAGGACATGAGTGGGGGGGAGAGGGGGGTTGGAGGAGTAAAAGGGGATAAGGACACATATATAATACTTTAATCAAGAAAATTTTTAAAAAGTTATCCCATAAAGATTACTCAGTAAATATTTACTGAATGAATGTTTTAAAATGACTTGTGTATTTGGATTATTAATAGAATTTTTGAAGATTCAATGGAAAGGAAATTGTCCACTATGCCACCAAATACTTTGCTTTAAAATAATTGAAGCATTTATCAAACCATCGTACGTTTATAACTTGAAAATTTTTCAGTAGCTACCACATATGTGTTTTAGTAAAAATAAATAAATTTTATATATATATATATATATATATATATATATATATATATATATATATGGATTGAAAAAGTCTGGGATGGAAAATTCAAAGATTGTGGACTTAGACCCAAGGTTTAATTCCTAAGCAGTTGCTTCCCAGCCATCCAGCCTTGGGCAGGTTACTTATCTGAGTCTATAAAGTGAGAGT